TTGCAATCAACAATTGTCTTGCCTGTTTTGGTGTGCAAGTAAAATTTGATGTGTATTACAAGCAGTGACTTACTGCTAACCCTGAGTGTTATCCCTCTGGTACACAAAATAAAACAGTCGAGACCTCTACTGAAGTGCAGATCAGGGCAAGCTAACACCATGTTTGTTTACTTACAACATTTCCAAAGCAATACTAGGGAAAAGAACATATTTAATTGCCTTTTATCATAAGTCTTAGTTAAAAATGACTCTATTGTCCTGCTAATCAAGTCAATTTATGCACATAGCATGGAACGAGTCCACATTTTGCAGGAGGCAGGGACTCAGCGGTGAGAAGAGTTGTCAAATATAGGGAGAATAATTGCCTTTGATTGCTCTTACTAATAGCGCAAGCTGACATCAGCAGCCCAGAAAATTCTGGAGATTAACTGTAAGTTCATAGGTAGTCCATTACCAGTAAAGTGAAAGTTAAAGGGCACATTTTTCTAGGTTAATATACTGAGAAAAACAGCCTTTTACAACTAGACAGAGGTGCATTTCCTGAAAGCAATCGACCTTAGCGAATAAAAAACAAGATAACGAACGATGCAGGTAAAGAACGAGTGAGATCTGCAAGGATTTCCCAGAATCCTTCGTTATTCCAGAATTAACAAACAAACTTTAAGGACTACTCTCTTGGCTTCTCCCCAGCTTCCATGTAAGAAAACCACAGATTGTCATTAACAGGAACATCGATCCCACATACTTCAGTGGTGATATATATGTTATATGATTGTCAAACCAGACATACACAAATGTAAAAAAATATAAACTAATTGGAAAATTATTAAAAACACACTAAAGCAACCAAAATGAAGACCCAAATTATGCTATTTGCAGAAAATATAAAAATGGGCTCAAAATGTGATGTTGCTTCCTTGTGATAAAGGAGCAATAGGAAAAGGAAGCAACACTTCTCATAAGAAGCCTTAAGACAACTTATTGAGGAGGTGGCCAAAAATATATTTTAATAAGATAATTACTGCAGTACTACATACTGTACTACTCACAAGACGAACATCACAGAAGCATTCAGGGGGGAATCTTAGAGCTCCCAAGGACTTGTGGCACCACAATCACATCTTCCACATGGCCAAAGCCCCCTCTGCAGCAGAGGGTGTTCTTTGGTGTTCAGTGTTACACCTTTCCTCAGCCACAGTTTGGGGATTCAACACTGGAGTCAGCAGGAGTTCTCTAAGATGATGCCTGCTGTCTCCCCATAACCAGCCACCAGCAAGCCCACCATCGTTTGCCATCTGTAAAGCTGGTCCAGATATAATCATCATGCTCCCAGGCCACTTGGCAGCAATGTCTGTAAAATGCCCTTGATGGTTGCATATCACCTGGACCTTTAGATCTAGTGCCAAGGATCTTTTTCGACAAATGCAAATGGGATTCAAGAAGCTGCGAGTATAAATAGTTTTCATTGTCATGTCCATCACTGACGGTCTACAGGAATTCACAAGTGGCGTAGAAGCAGTGGGCTTTCAGAAGCTGCTCGGTGCATTTAGGGCAGAATTCCAGTGTGTTCCTTTTTCAGTTTATCCTGCACCACACCAAGGAGGCTCATTATTTCACCGCAGGCCAGCCTGTATTTCTCCATGAACTGCTCATTACTGAAATGGTCCATGGGGTTCATGGGTAACTCTCAAAACAGCATTGAGGCAAGCAGCTTGGCTTCCTGGATGACGCTGTCTCAAATGCTGTCTTCGGTTGACTAGCACAATTCTTTATCACTGCTGGTTGTGAGGGGTGATTCACCTTCCCAATTCAAAGCATGCGACTGAACACAAAGCAAGTTTGATTGGTTAGATCATTACATAACCTACTGGGATTATTTAGAATTTATGAATCGCTCCCCATTCCATTCATGAAATGGAATTTGAATTGAATTGGCCACACCTTATATGATGTTAAATTGGAATGCCAGTAAGGACAATTCAATGCAATCACACAACACAGGAATGCCATTTCATCTAGCAAAACATAAATAATTACATAGTAGATTTACTTACAAAATGATAGACTATATATGGACCTTATATATGTACTAGTGAGTGAACTTTATATTTGCATGATTGTAAGATATAAATTGTGTAATTGTTTTAGCCTATTTTAACAATATGCATTTGGTTTATGTCAGCCCTCTAAGTCCATTTCCATGTGCATATATTTATTGATTTTGCATTTTTAACTGTTTATGTGTGTTACCATATGTGAGGAGTCTGCAGTAGCTTCTCTTGTGAGTGACAGGGGATAGTATAGTGTTGTGAAAGGGTTACTTGTATGACTATATGAAATACTCAACCACCACACACAAAATGACAGAAGTATTTATTCTATAAAATTCTTTCATTCTGAATGACAGTAACTTTTCAGGTAGGTTGTTGAACATGGCGTAATGGCTGAAGGGTAGTTTTTGCTGTTTTAAATATCTGTGTTGTGGGGGAGGTAGGGATGGGATTCAGTGTACGCTGTTTATGTTAACATGCTGTATAATTCATATAGAAATCTTAAGCTGTATTGTTACAGCTGCATCTACACAATGTTTATATTCAAATTCGAATTGCAATTCTATACTGTGTTTTCAACCAATTTTATGAATGGAATTTGATTTTCAAGGTCACTAAAGTCAATTCCATATGGTGCACAACTCTGTGTACTCAAATTGCATACAGGTGTAACAACAACGAGCAACTGAAATTTTGTTCATTTTGCGTAGCTCTAATTATATCATCATCATCATTACATTATCCAAAAAAGAACATCAATGTGTTCTCACAGTCTATTTTGGGTGATCTGTGTGTCTCTGTGACAGGACTGCAGGCAAAAGGTCAAATAAAGAACGACGTAGAAAATAAAGAGTGCGTTGGAGCACTCGTCACTTTACAAGCGAAATTACAAACTACTTTAGTTATGAGGGGATTTGATAAACACTCACTAATTAACGATTGATCTTAAGTGCTACAGTAGATAAACTACTTAGCATTATGAAGCTTGCAGAAAACGCACCCCAGAACAGGAAGACTTGGTGTATATTTCACTGACAGTGTTGCGCCCAAACATGTATTCAAACACTGGACCAAATTCAAACAAATAATAACATACAGTAGGAAACATTCTAAAGTATTCTGTCGTAAATATAAACAATGCAATGCCATTCTTAGACAGGGAATTGCTTTAAAAAGGTTCCACTACCATAGTTATGCTCTTATGAGCTAATCTTCTGTTGAGATGGTTGCTCCCATCGGGGGTCATTTGAATAAATCCATTGCTTTTTTCTAGACAAGCGTACTCACAGCCCCTGACAAGATTATTCCCCAGTCCAATGAGTTTGTTTCTCCTTGACTTGCAACACCGGCTGTGCTTCACATTTGGAAAGAAAGCCACTACTATCATGAAATATTTACCCATTCAAGCTTTAATGATTAAACTTGCAACAGAGACAAAGCAAAACAAAAAGAAAATAATCTACAAAATACACTCATGATAGCTAGTAGGAAACAGCAAAATAAGAATTTCCCGCTTTACTACATGATTAAGTACCATTTTATGATACCAGAGTATTATGCTCAAACAAAAATATGCATATTATAAACAAAGTATGTGTTGGAGCAACCATTTATTTGACTTGGATAAACAAAAGCCAAGCTGATACATTTTAAATATATCACAATATTTTTAAACGTTAACATTTCCTTTCTGGATCTAGGAGGCGTGATGCCTTCCCAGAGGTTTTCACACTGCCTCTTGACAAGGCTTTAGTATAACTCCCGTCCACCCTGACATCAGCTATCGTCTTTAATAAAGGCACAGAATTAAAAAATGACTTCAAAGCTACATGCAGAAAAACAGCAAAATAATAAACAGAGTAATAAATACATAGCCGAATGTTTTTAGCCAACATCGAGGTTACTAATTGCTTAGCTGGCTATTTTATTTGATGCCCAACTGGACTTTTATGCTTTACCCCCTGCTGGTATTATATGTTTTTCATATATTTTATCCAAAAATGTATATTAGTCTTAGTTTTCTATTTCACCCATTTATCTCGTTATTTTTATGGAAGTTGGTGAGGTTAAGCAAGCTCACTTTTTTCTCCTGGGAGCTGAAGATAGACCATTTTCATTACCACCCTGCTGGAAAAAGATAAAATATACAATATATTTCTCTTGTCCCATATTCTGAAGGCTCAGATATGTGCCTGTTCAAAACCTCCCTGTAGCATTAATTCAATAATACTACTAAAAGGTAAGGGAGAGGTCTTCTTTACAAGTCATGGTGGGATCGAAAGAGCCCATTTAAGGGCATTTCCATATTGTGATGCCTTGGGTATGCATGCATACAATGTGTAGAGCAGCAGTTGATGGATCAAAGTAAAGTGACTATCTCCTTTCAGTGCTACAGATGGGTTGTTCCTGAATGAATACATTTTTCTGATAATCCATTTTTAAGAAATAAAAGGTCACCCCAAGAAAAAGATTTTCAAACGGCTGAATATATATTATGGAAAAATCTAGTAGGATGAAAGACATTTCAGAGACAGAGCCTCATTTGCCCTCATTCAGTAACCCATCATTCGTCGCACTACTCATCCAGCAGAGGCTTGTGGGGATTTGGGGGTTATCCCAACTAGCATAGATGAGATTTTCAGATTAGATTAGATTGTCATGGTACAGCTATAATGAAATGCAATTTAGCATCTAACGAGAAAGTGTAAAGAGTATAGTTAAGGTGCCAATGATACATTAAAGTGCAATAGATAGTACGGTGCAATAAGGCAACATACAATATATATCCATATGTATGTGTGTGTGTGTGTGTGTGTGTGTATATATATATATATATATATATATATATATATATATATATATGGGATTGAATCTACAGGCAGTAGTATATACACAAGGGAGAGTATATAGATATGAGTTCGGGAATTAAGGGTCCTTTTAGTGCGTGACCTAAGGCTCCTGCTGGTGCGTGACCTGAGGCTCCAGCTGGTGCGTGACCTGAGGCTCCTGCTGGTGCGTGACCTGAGGCTCCTTCTGGTGCGTGACCTGAGGCTCCTGCTGGTGCTTGACCTGAGGCTCCTGCTCGTGCGTGACCTGAGGCTCCAGCTGGTGCGTGACCTGAGGCTCCAGCTGGTGCTTGACCTGAGGCTCCAGCTGGTGCTTGACCTGAGGCTCCTGCTGGTGCGTGACCTGAGGCTCCTGCTGGTGCTTGACCTGAGGCTCCTGCTGGTGTAGCATCACCTTGATGGGAGGAGAGTAAACAATTGGGTTCAGATCAGGAGACATACTTGGCCACTGAATCACTTTCACCCGGCTCTTCTTCAGAAACGTAACAGTGGCCTTAGATGTGTGTTTTGCATCATTGTCCTGTTGGAAAAGTGCACGATGACCAAGGGCATGGAATGACAGTAGCATCTTCTCTTTCAATATAGAGCAGTATTCAGTGAATTCATGACACCATCAATGAAATGCAGCTCCCTGACCGCAGCAGCACTCATGCAGCCCCGCATAAGGACCCTGCCGCCACCGTTTTTCACTCTAGGCACCATGCATTCTTCTCTGTACTCCTCACCTTTGCGATGCCATACAGTTTTGATGCCATCAGTTCCAGAAACATATATATTGGTCGCATCACTCCAGGGCTCTGGCAAATTCTAGACAAGCTTTTTTATGCATGGTCTTTAGGAGAGGCTTACTTTGTGGAGGAGACTCACGCATGCCATTCCTCTGCAGTGTACACTGTATAGTGTCACAGGAAACAGTCACCCCAGTTTGGCTTTCTACTTCTTTAGCTAATTGCAGTGAACTTGCATGGCGATTTTCTTCAGAAGACACTCCTGTCAAGGTCTTAACCTCTGTGAATGGCCTGGACGTTAGATAATTGCAGTTCCATCTTTTTTGTATCACTTTTGCGAGAGTATTTTGACTGATAAGCACAGCTTTGCTGATCTTCTTGTAGCCTTCACCTTTCTTGTGTAAAGAAATTATTTTTTTTCCTCAGGTCTTGTGACTTTTCCATGTGGTCCCATCGCCGACAGCATGGGATGGGAAGGGGTTTCTCTGTTAAGTAACACCCTTTTATAGTCAAAATGCCTGTTTAAAGAATAATTAGACTCACCTGTGGTTGATTTCTTGTTATTTAGAAGTTTGTAGTCTAAAATTTATGCTTGCTCATAAGACTTTCAATGGGGTGTACTCATTTTTGCAACAAAGGTGCTTGAATTAATATGTTAGGACATTTACTTTTTTGTGTGAGCAAATTAGCAGATCTTGTTTGCAATCATTGGCCTACATATGTGGGAGTATTTTGTAGTATAGTATCCCATAGTAAATGTTGATTTTGAAAGAAAATTGAAGGTTTTCTGACAAATCTGTTGGGGTGTACTCATTTATGCTGAGCACTATACAGTATATACACACAAGCACATGTACACACACACATATATATGCAAATATGTTTCCTTCATAATAATGTTCAATTTTTGTATTACATATTATATTGAAATGTTTTTTTTGTACATCGTGTGTGTGCATGTCCATGTAATAATGCTTTCAATCAGGATTAAACTAAAATGATAGTGTTTTGTGAGGACGATCAGCACAAGGCTTTATGGTGGCCATAAACACCTGGAGACAGCAAAACTGAGCGCCTCTTGAAACCAGTCAATACTGGCTATATAAAGTTCAAATGGAAAAAGTTTCAAATGAAAAAAAAATTTTCTCCTAGCAAAAAGGAGAAAAAAACTACAGCCTTACAAAACAAAAGTGTAATTAGTATCAGTATTGTGTTTATTTGATATCAATTGCCACTATAAAGTGAATAGATGCCATAAAATCCAAAAAAAGAGATTGTTACTGGATTATTTTTGTAACGATACTTAGCAGCTTATTTTTGCTATTCAGTCAGACTGGTCTCTCTAATTTGTCTTTAGTGGATCATAAATATTAATTAAGCGTTATTTTTTTTTTCAACTTTATAGCACATGTCAACCTTCTTTCTTTATAAATCCAATCCTGCTTCACGTTTTGAGAAAGATAAATGCAAAATGTTTGCAAGACAATTTCAAAACGTAATCTGGTATAAGTGCTCTTGCAAGATTAAAGCTTGAAGCTGTACTGCCCTTTTTTAAGTAAATCAGATCATTCACAGCCCATTCAATTTAAGGTAACACGACATTGCAGAAAAATGGCTCTGAAATGGTAGAGATTGCACACATTTGCTTCCTTAAAATTTGCTAACTTGCCAAGTCAAGCAAGCAGATGTATGGTTTTGTCTGTTACTCTTGTGAGCAGCAGAGACATATAGCAGATTGACTTTTGGAAAATTATGTCTCTGACTAGCCACCTGAAATTGACTAAGACAAATTTATTTTTATGACACCTGCTAACCGGGGCAGTGGATTGGCTCATTAGGTGGTACTCTGGCCTAAATATTCCAAGGGTGTGGATTTGATCCCAGTCCCTGCCTGTATATGTATACATGCATGTCTGTTTTAGGTCATACTTTATTTGACGGGTCACAAATAATATAGTAATATGTCTCTATAATATACTATTATGTCTCTTCTTTGCTTGATAAAACCTACTTATTGCTTCATTTGAATCATAATTACCAGAATGTAGTTGGTAGATAATGATTATCTACACCATAAAGTAATGGTTAACTAAATTTTATGTTAACCATGAGCTCAATGACTTGCAGCTAAGTACTCAATTACTAATTTCCTTGTAAATAAGAAAGGCTTGGAGTTTAGATTTTTTTGGTTAATTGATACATTAAGTAAGAGTTGGTTCACGATTAATTAAGAACATAATAGTGGACATTTTCTGACCCCTTAAGTATAGTGTTACCCAGTTTTTTACTGTGTTTTATGTGGAGCATAGGAAACCAACGGCTGCCTTTCAAAAATGAAATTAAAAAAGTAGTTATAACCTTGAATGGATATGCTGAAGGGCATCAACTGGGAAATGATCACTGATGTATTAAGCAGAGATTGAAT